CTTGATGTGAGTATTGTGAGTAAATTCAGACCATTAACTGATGTACTGTCTGAAATGTCCTGTTATTTTTCATGCCATATCAGTTATTCAAAATAATGTCACTTATTAATTGATGACCATTCATTTTAGATTGATGTATATATGATATCGGTTCATGTTTGTACTAAAAGTGGGTCATGTTTAGTAATCGCTAGGTGTCTTGTATATAAATTATTCTGAAAATGAGGCCTCACCCATTCTTAAGGATAGACACATTCAGTAATCTATTCAAATCAACTTCTTTTTGGAGTATTTTGGGACCTTCAAAGTAAAATATTGAGAATCGAGGAAAGATTATATGTGTATTCTTCTTTTTTTGATATCATATAGTTTATATTTTATTTGAAAGATAAAAAATTGTTCCTTACTAGGATTAAAAAGAGTTAAAGTGTATTCGTAGACGCGTTCTACAAGTAGATCGTTCATATAATCCATTTTAACTTACCCGCTGAAAAACTTTGGGTATTTTGTGAGCTCAGCATAAATGATGATAAGCTCCCAGATAGCTGGTTGATGAGATTTCATTTACAGTAGAGCTATTTTCGTTCCTGGAACATCTTACTGGTATCCTTGTCAATACGCTTTCTTGAAACAGCACTACAAATTTACTGACTATTTTGAATATTTCATTAGCAGGGAATGCAAATGCTATTTGTATGGCCTTTATAGCTATTTCTAATGTTACTAACTCCAATAGAAATATTTTATTTTTATCGCACTCGTATGTTATATCAAAACCTACGATGTATTAAACCCGGTGAACAAATTTTCACGGTCATCATTGAGAAGAAATGCCATTCCAGGTGGATCCGTAATTTAAGCAGTATTTGCATTACCTCTCCGATGTCGAGCATATGTGTGGAAATTTTGTCCAAATTACCTACTACTTAAAATCTAAACACTTTACAGTCCATAGTGAAGAGACATCGAGCTAATATTTTCATCCAGAAATTAGCATACACAAAATCATTAGTCAAAAATAAGCAAATGGTATTTATTTAATTTCCTATCGGATGAGCCTTCAGCTTACCTCATAATCGATAAGCATAACCTGAATAAAGTTCTAACTATTAAATTTGAATAACATGCCTATATTATTAGATAAGAGATATTTCAACAAACTTTCTTATAGCCGACAATCTTACCGGTTATTGAAGGCGCTCTTTCATTCGTCACACGTATTTTAAATAAAAACCATTATCTTTTTATTGACTTCCTCTGATTATGAAATGACAGCAAATTTCATTTTCATTGGGTGTTAATTGTTAGACAAACTGTTTTCTGTTGGAAATACGGCACCAACAAATATCTTTTTGCAGACAGCATCGACCTTACTAGTGGAAAAAGGTATATGAGATAGCAAAACTGTGATTACAAAAATTAAGAACTGGTACTAAAATCTGACAACTGACACGTCTATTGATCCGATAGCATCTAACCTAATAAACCTTTGAAATGATAATTTGACTGGTAGGAGAGAATGAAGGGAGGCGATGGGGCTGAAAATCGAGACACTTTTATATCCTTACAAATTTGTTTCCTGAAACCTAAATAATACTCATGTTTTCGTTTTCAGATATCTCCACCTCAAAAAACAGCTTTGTTTGACTAAAACATTTAACATAGATCATATAATTGTATCAGTGAATGTCACTTAGATAATGTTTCAGTAAGCAAAGCATATCTAAATATTGACATATTGTATATCCGATTATTATCTCACATCCAGGAATCGATCGAAATCTCTTTAGTCAAGAAATACGATTGTAATGCATTCAACCTTGTTCCGACTTTTGAAAATTATATTGATTCACCTACAACATAATAGGTAATAATGTATACTGGAACCAGACTAATAATAATTGTGTAAATCTCATTTTTAAACTCCTGATAAATATTGAAACAGAAACAAAAAAAGAACTTTTAATACGTATTTTAATGAATTGTACTTATTTGTTTGAATACTCTTTAAGTTGTCACCAATTTAAACTAGAGATGATGATTAGATAATAGAAAATGATTTTATTGAATGTCAAATTATCAAATAAACATTTCGATTGATTTTTGTTGATTTTTGTCTTCGTGATGACAGTAAGTGTTGTGAATAGTAAACAAATATTATGGTAATTTAAGTCTATTGATGTTATAGCTTCATCGAAAGTTTATATTATTACTAAAATTTGTAGAAATTGTTAGACAAATAATTTATGTACCTATGAAAATTCATAAAAGTTAATGCTGTGTACATTTCTAAACATTAAACTCAAGCTTCTTTTTTAAACTGATCATTGTAAATAATATGTGTAGTCGAATAAAGTTTTGTTCAAATTCAATCAGTTTGTTAGGTGAATTTTTTCGAACAGAGACTTGAAGTTTCAACAAATCATGCTTAAAATTATGCTAAATATCCAAAAGGTGATATCCATTATTAAGTCATTTCAAAACAGTACACCAAACAATTTATACTACCTTGAATTAGTTATTTGCTTGCATTTCGCGGGAACCTGCAATAGTTCCTCGTTTTACACGTAATGTAATAAGAGATTCCGACATAATAATCAACGCAGCCAGATATAACAATTAGCGACGACCGATATAACAAATTGGCGATGGGAATTTCGGAAGGAAGAAACCATTACAACTGCTGATAGTGTCAATTTACAAGTTGCAGTTCCCAGCTATAACTCAGTTGTCATTTTAACGTACCCCAAATTCTGTTTCCTTAGGTATAAATGTACTTCTGCTTTTATTTATCAAGCCGCTGTTACAACAAACGACGCAGTTACCGGTGTACGAACATGTCAATCTCAGTCGCAGAAACTTCTGTGTGAAATGAACTGAAGTCAATGCTTCAGTTTAATGAAGATGTGCTCAATAAATCTCATTTAATGCTCATCAATGCATTGAAAGAACACATGCTCAAACAATAGAATCCGGAATCTCACTCAAAAATTATAGGCATATTTAACAAGATAACTGATATATTTCCTGACGTAATGAGAAACGGTTTTGTAATTGAGGAAGAGGCCAACGAATTCTTTAATAATGTTGACTCTGGGCAATGTTCAAGTGTTCTTTCATTCTAATTACCCAGTCACTTCGAGTAAAATTCAAAATCATGGTGAGACAAATGTTTAAATGAATCAATTTCTCATCAAATTTCTAACTATGTCATATCGGATGCTATCTTAATGATTCATTAGTTTCAAACGGAGTCCTTAATGAATTTGAGAAAAATATTTCAAATGGATCAAATTCTGGAGATATCATAACAAACGTTGCTTGTTCTCACATTACACTCGTTTATAATGAAAACCTAAGTCAGTATGAAGCACAAATTCTCAATGGGTTCAAATCTAATTATAATTCTGATGGACCAAGAGCAAATGTTATTTATCTTCACAATGCATTCACTTTTTGTCAGTGTGAGAAAAATGTTTCAAATTAGTCATAAGCTGGTCACATTTCAGATGTCATTGTAGCAGATGTTGGGTGCTCTAGCACCCCATATATGCCACATGAAATCCCTCCTCAGTGCTATGACAAATCGATTGGCATAAGTGTTTGTGAAGCAGTCGCGAAACCAGAATGCCCAGGAGCGACAAAAGGATCCATCAACCTCTGTTCACCCATATGCCCTAATACGCACATATAGTGAAGATGCTAGTGGTGATAAACCAGTTCAGGCCAATAAAGTTACATTATTAGTAACATGGGTGCATGAAGATTCAACATGAGGGAGGGAGAACTATGTGCATTGAAAGAAGGAGCAAACCATAGAAGTCAGAAGGTTAAATATGTTTTTTTCAAATGAGGCTGAAAAAAACCAACTGAAGCTGGAACATGAATATGAGACCTGCCGAGATCTCAGTGAGTACACGAAAAAGAACAACAACCTTTCGAATAGAATCTCCACAGAAAACTCATTCTTACGTATTCTAATAAAAGAAAGGGAGGTGATATAACGTGAAGAAAAGTCGAAATTACTTTCTTTTACTCATGGTGCTTTCGTGTTCAACATTACTTCCGTTTTTCAATTCAATATGATGATTGCCCAGTGTAACATTTGTTTTATTTTCCAGTATGATATCTTATTCTGTAATGTGTAAAATTAACATTAACTATACTCGGTATGATATTTGTTTTGTCATAACTCTAAGTTTTTTTCATATGTATATGATTTCATTGTAACTATTAATCAAAATGGGTGTACAAATCAACATATAGATGAGTGTATTTTTGACTAGGGTCGTCGTGTTTTGGGGTTAATAAATCTTTACTTGTATCAGTCTTGGTGTTTTTACTTCGCGTCAGTGGTTCCTCTTTTACAAGTAAAGTAATAAGTGATTCTGACACAACAATTAGCGACGACCGACATAACACAATCTACTCATGTTAAATTTCTTTGAACACTCATTCCTTTGTGCCGTACCATGCCGGATAGGTTGGTTGGAGAAGAATAAAAATAGGAGCGACAACGTAATATTCGGAGGCAGAGTTCTACCACTGACGGTACCGTAGTCTGACGACAGTGACATTTTAAAGAACAGAACATCTAGTCATACCTTGTGGATTGAAAGCGCCCAGGATAAGACGTTTAAAGTACAGAGCTAACACATCAAGAACTTTTGACATAAAATCCTTACGCAAGCGCTTTCAGACAGTTGTTTCTTGGCCTCTGGGATCATGTTTTTAAGTCTCCATGACAGCTAATAGGCCAGTTTCCTTCTTAAGCACCTCAAGACATATCCTTCTCAAGATTGATAACCAAGATATGACGACAACAACCTATATAGCTCTGACAGTACTCTAGATCACATTGACGGACACTGGAACAAACTATAGAATAATACCTTTTCGACAATTAAAACAAAACTTGTATTTGTTTAACATCTCTACATTACCATATTATTAAAAATGTCTAATTTTCTTGTTATTGCCATTCGGTTCATTTCCTGTAGTAAAAGCAGATGTTTATCCACCGAAACTGTTGACACTTCCAACTGGTGTTAAGCCTATAAATCAAAATCCTACAATCATTAATAAAGTTGATACAACTCAATTGCAAGAAAAATCTATGATTGGACATATTTATGGTCTAGGTACTTTAAATAATCCAATTGATCTAATCAATAAAAAAGCATACACAGAAAATGGAATTTTTATTGAATGTACAACATCTTGTGCAACATCAGTTAAAGGTATTTATTGGAAGGCGAAGAATTCAGTAAGTTTTCATGATTATTGTTATTACCTGTATTATTATATTGCTATGCACGTTAAATTGTTGAATTATTTTAGGTTTGTATTCTATTGAGGAAATCGTTTAAGAGTGTAAGTTTCGAAAATAAAATTCAGTAGTAATGAAGGAAGTTAATCTATGAAAATTTGAGTTTATTCTTCACTTAAGGCTATATTTAACTGAAACGTTTCTGTATTGAAGGGCTTGAATTTCTGTATAACAATCCATGAATAACTAATTTAATTTGTATGCCCAGCCACCACCAACCTAGATAGGCAATGTTTGCTGGTATAGGAGTGAGCTGGAAGAATGCTAAATCAAAATGTGCCATATGTTCGTTAAGTTAACAATTATTGGTCTGAGCCATCCCATTAGAATCAGACTACCTGGTTGGGGTCAGTAAAATAACTTTACCCAACGGCTGGCAGCTTCGTGTGACAATGGTGCAAGTCCATTTATTTCTCACCTTCCTCTCGATCTTCAATTCTGGTATTACTTCATGTATACCTTCCTATTCTATCATTTTCCAAACATTCAGTGCTTATTTTTCTTATTGTCATTGTCACAACATTGTTGCAGTCTATTTCTCTGCTCATTTTCTTAATTTCATCTCATCGCTCTAAAATAATACGATAACTTAGAGCAAATCACATCTGCGTTACTCTCTATGTTGGTAAGAAAAACTGACTGTAAGTCCAGAGTAACACTATTTCTGCACAACAAAATCATATTCGAGTTTGCTACTTTCAGTACTGTTTTATTAAATGACGAACTCTTTTGTGATGCTTAATTCAAACTTATAACAATCTTTCTTGCTGACAGTCACACTAGATACCAATTAAATTACAAAAAATCCCTTTTATTGTTTCGGGTTAAAGCATTTTGTCTACATAAAAACGCACGATGTGTCTTTATATAGGCTGATTTTCTCAAACAGTAAATTTGGAATAACAAGATTCCTAACAGCTTCAAATCACAATGAATAATTTGGTTTGAAACAAAAGGTTGAGATACTTTAATTAATGAAACTGAGAGTTTGAAAGGTGATAACATTTCAAAAAAGGGAAGATACAAAAATGACATTAAACTGATTCTTGTATTTGAAAAATATAGTTTCATAAAAAAGATTAGGGAAGTTTACAATTAATTATCATCAATAAACAAATTAGTTTTACCTAACTGGATGACAATTATTATGATAAATTTAATTTTGTTGAGTGAAAGTCGGTAGACGGGTAGAAATGAGACTATGTAGTACATAAAAGTATTTCTTGTTACTGATTTCTACCAACGAGATTGCTAGTCCTACGTATGACTTGATTATTTCTACATGTGTTGTCTGGTAAATCCTTTCTCCTGTTAACAGTGGCGCACTACTGATCCCAATTTATGGTGTTTTAGGGCATGAAAACTTTCTCACCGTTCTAAGCAATATGTACTGAAGTTTGAAAAAGGCGGAATACCATTTTTGTCTTGCGACTGCATGTATCGGTAAAAATGTTCGATTATTTTAGAAACATAATGTGCCCAAGACGTTTATATAGGCGTTTTTCTAAAGCTGCATGAACTTGTTTTAGTATAAGATATTATCATATATGCCATGTGTGGACGTCATATATGACTATTTCCCTGGTAACTATTATTACATAGGAGTTTAAGGTGAAAATTCTGTAGTAAATTTTAATATTTCACATCTTACTACCTATTTATCTACAAAACTATAGAATAAAGTGACATAGTGAATACATTTTGTTCCCATAGATTTTTAAATATTTATTCTGTATTGGAGGGTCATAATATTAGTTGTATTGATAATAATAACTATTCAATAATGTTTATTCAGTACAATATAGATATTATAGTAGAAAATTAAAACTAAATGAATTGTTTCTAAGAAAATAAGGACAACAGTAAATAAGCCTTAGGCTCAAATGCATAGGTTTTTGATTAGATCAACCCTGAAAACCCATCTGTCAAATAGTATATTTAGTAAATATGGTATAGTAAACTTTTGTTGCACTTTCCTTGCATGAATTCTAAAGTATTTGTGGCTCTGACTATCAAGTGCTGTACGATGAGTAAGCTGTTAAAACACTACTTTTAAAGAACATCCTGAGTTATAAACATTATTAACAATATTAATAAAGTCAAAGTTTAACAAAAATATTTCTTAGAAACTGGTAAATTTCTTATTCACTGAGTTTGGTATATTTTTATAGTGAAACTGGTTAGGTAATAATACCATCTTAGTCGATGCATTTGAACTCAGGATTTCGGAATCTTTCACTCTTTGCTTTTAAAATGTTATATCTATGATCGAGTAGAATGGGTGTTCGAGGAATTTGTGATCAATTCATACAATTTAAATTCGGTGACTATGTCTTAACTATGTCATAAAACTGAAACATTACAGAATCTGTCAACAGACTGAATTCCAGTTGACAGCAAATTAAACCAAATATTTAATTTATCAAGAAGAGTATGGATATTTGTGATCTTTTGAGAACTCGAAAATATATCATTAACAGTTAGTTCTATTTTCTTTTCATAAAGCTTTCTTTTACAATACATAGACCTATGTTGTAAAGGATTTCAGTGTTTTCATAGTCATTAATAACTTCATAGAAACAAAGTGTAACTCCTAATCGTTAATTAAATATAGGCATTTACGTATGATCTGGAGTTATTTTTAGCCTACAGTAGGTTATGATCATTCATCAGACAGCTAATCATGTTTGAGAACACAAACTTGAACACTAATACCAATAATAACAACAACCTATAGTGGAGAAAGTGAGATAGTGAAACTTGAAAATTTAACATTTTGATTATCCACTTCATAAATTGTGCATAAATTCATATTCGATAGATCATACATGTATGTTGCAAATTCCAAATCCAAAATGCTAGAAATAAATATCTATCTTGACAAATCAGTTATAATAAACTGATGATAGTATTTATAAGAAAACAATATTTTACCTTAATAAATATGCCGTTCATTATAATTAAAAAGAAATGCAAGTTAATGGATGTATTGACGTAATGTGTGCATACATGTATATATCTAATATATTCAGATAGCATAAATCAATAACAACACAAATGTACTGCTGAAACTCACCATTAAAATAACATGATTAAATTGATAATCAGTGTAAAATCGAACCGATGATTTGTAAAGTATAAATGACACTAAGAAGAGTTTCGATTTATATGTATATAGAAGTGTGAGTTGGATTGCATCATGAATTAATATCAAATGACTGGTGGAATATAATCTTTTCAGAAGTGAACCAGTTACCCATCCATGGAATTGGATGATTTCATGCCATGCTGGCAATCATCTGAAATCAAAAATGTAGACCATCAATTAATTTAGGGGTAATGTACTCGTTTCGAAAACTGAATTTTCTCAATTCTCTCTCTAGTCATGCTCCAGGTGTCCAAGGAGTTCCATATCAAGACGAAATACATGTCCACTGCTCTTTGGTTTTCATTGGTTTCTCGGTTTATATCAATCTATGATGAAATTCAACTTTGACTTTCTTAAATATCTAATCTTACCAATTAATCTTCAGGTAGTATTGAATATAATCATTATAAAATAGTAATATAATAATATATACTGTCATTATTAATATTTAAACAATGATACAACTTATAACCTGTGATAAATTCACATCAATCAAGTTTTCATTGTTCTGTTTTCATAAATATAACCTGGGTTTTTATTTTGTTCTCATCCTTTGCAACTGAAAATAATAATAATAACAGTAGTATCATAATACTAGACTAACCAAAATAGTTAATGAATAATTATCATCCCTAGAAATCTTTAATATTGTTTGTATTCATTTTTTCTTATCATATAAATGTATCTTGTTTGAATTTGTTACAAACAATGCCAAAAATCATGTTTCATATTTAGAAAAAAACTTATCATATTTTATATCTGTTAGAATAAATAAATTCATAGTATTTAAATAAAGAAAGAAATAGCCATGGTAATAATAATAATAATCATTTAAAGAAAAAACAAAGGAATCTCTATATATTTTGTATATATGATTTGATTATCTAGAAATCAAGTTGAAACATATTTTCTTTCTTTGGTAAATAAAAATTAATATAACGACATAACAACTTTATATTTAGGTTAATAAGTGAAGTTTAAATCTTCTTTTTTCATGGTAATGCAAATATTTATTTAGATTATTGTTATTATCATTAGCTTTATTCAATAATATATTTGTGGTACTGCTATGTTTGAAGTGATGACGAGTTCATCTAATTTGAGAACGGGACGAAAACTCTGTGACACAATGACAGAAAACTAGCTATTTTGATGCGTCTCAGCCCCTCTAACTAGAGAGATAAGTCCATGTTCGAAACGGGGAAATATATTCTGCAACTAGGCATAAGCACAAGCGATAACAACAGGCACAAATCAAATGTATATATACAGAATAAAATTGTCGTTGGGAAGCGTTAAACAATAGTATACTAAAAGATACAACGAGCCGATATCGTTTAAGATTCTCCCAAATAGGAAATACGACATGAAGGTGAAAATTAGCGCTTTTAACGCGAAAATAAGAAATTCAAATTTCTAAAAGAAAATTACAAAAATAGGGTATTTATCAAGTGAGTTCTGGGGATCTAACATCCCCAACAGGTAGAATATAGTATTATCAGCACAAAGTATTTCAAAAAGTTTCTATTTATTATTTTTTGGTTGATCCTGACGATAAATATTGAATGGTCACCAGTTAGATATTAGCAGTCCAATCAATCGACATCTAAATAATGTACTTTCTTTTCGATGCATATTGCCAGCAACTACGATATTTCTGATAGGACCTTTTGTATCTTGTGTAACGAAAGGTTGTAGACTTTTCAGAAACGCACTTGAGTAGGTTATGTGATTATTAGCCATAATGATGTGTTAAAACAAATGAAATTAGATAACTTGTTGAAATATCTAGATAACAGGGACAGGTAGCCCAGATGTTCAAGTATAAATAGATGAATACTACTGCTAAACAATACTTGTAATTACTTTAACTATATGCTGTGTTTAGTGTATTTAAAATTAATGAACCTCATTATGTCATATTTGAATAGATCAAATTGTAAATGATGTTTTAGCGCATGATTGTTAAAAATATTCTGAACTATTTCAAAGTCTAAAATGTTTATAAAATATGTTGACAATATGAAACCATGTAGGAATAAATCATTTGATATATTCAAAGTTTTTCTTATAATTCAAATTAGTGTCATTTTTCACGATGTTCAAGAATATTCAACCGCAGATACCATTTTAAATTTCATAGATTACAAAAGAAAATAAGAAATTCCAACAGTACTTCCAGATTTTAAATGGTTGACTAACTTTATTCCATTCATGATCTCAGTAAAATTCTAACATAGCTCAACTTCTACGATGAATGTTTATCAAATGATAAACAATCCTAACTAACAAAAAAAGATAAAACTGTGGGACAAATTTAGCTTATGATACAAAACATTCATGAAGACTATTTGATTTCCTCACAAATCGATATCACCAGGACAAACCCGGTAGCATTTAGATGAAGTTTGAAAAGTCTACCAATGGACCCCAATTCACTTTTTTGAAAATATGACCTGTCGGAGCAAGGGATCGAAAGTCCTGAGTTTTATCCTTGATTGAATTATGAGTGTTTTCAACTATGACAAAGCGGCACTCTAATGTTATTTAATGTTCTATAGTTCTTCGTTTTATGGTGTTCGATTGCGAAAACAGTTTTCCTACCGGACAATAAAGCAGATTGGATCATTCTACTGTTGTTTGACCTTTTGAGGTTGACAACTATAAGTATATGCATTCATTTCATTATGTTTTACTGTTGTCTTACATTTGTTCTATTACAGACATGGACTCATAGTTTGCATGTGCAATCAGGCATTAACAATGATGATGATGAAGATTATGTTGATGACAGTTTGTACAATCGAATTCACAGATTATCCTATAAATCAGAATATACTAATCCTATTTGTGAGGTTGGTTTAAAATCAGTTAAAAGTCGCATACAAATTAAATGTGCATCTGGACAAAGTCAAACACCATCTAAACTTTTATCACATACATTAGTTGGATTAAATAAAATCACTTGTTTTCCATATTATGATAAAGAAATGGAAAATAAATTGTCTAAATTAACACGTTACAATGAAGAACATAAAGGGGTTAGTTCACAATTTATAGTACATAATAAAAATAATCCACCTGATATAACTCAGTCGGATTGTTTCATTGATGATGGTAATGGTCATTCACATGCAGCTGCTTGTATTTATGTTTTGTGTCCTGGTAAGTGTTTTTGTCGATCACTGTCTGTTTGTCTATCTTTTAATATATACATGCATACAGAATACAATTCTCTTTGAACCTAGCACACAACAACCGCATCATGCACTGTCCTATCGCCCTTGGCAGATTAGGCAACCCAAAAGTTACGAGAACACTATCAGGGCATACGACAGGCTAAGCACCCCATATATATATAAGAATAATGAAGTATTTTTCCGTGAAAATATACTACCAATAGTAATTGATGTTGAAATACTGGAGGATTAATTTAATTATGATCATATAACACATGAGAGTTGTTACATTTACATATTATCGAGTCATTTAGATCAAATAACAAAGTTATATTTCAGTTACTTCCTATGAAACATGATCTATCAGTGAAACTAGAATTTAGTTAAAAAGATATTGCGTAGACGATCTGAATTTGTATGTTGTACTCGTTACAGATTGGTCATTTTTGAAACAGCTATAAATCAAACCAATCTCCACAAAACATATTCAATCAGACTATAGTAGTTAGCTTATTGATAACTTTTCTGAAGTTCTAGTGATAAATCTTGACTGGCTGAAGTCATGCACATTTTCGAAGAAATTAGCTGTAATCATTGATAGTGGAAGGATTCCATGCAATATCTTCGATTAATTTGGGTTGGAATTGTGAGGTTAAACATCGACTTAGTGGTTCTAATGTTAAGGATTCATCACGAAGTGTTAAAATTCTAGGTTTGATCCCTTATTAGGATGTACGTGAGCACTGTTGGTGTTACGTCCTTGATCTGTCTACCCGCTAATCTAGATTAAGACTTTGGCAAGATGGCTGTCTAGTTTAACATTGAAGCTAGTATCCATAGGTTCTAAGTGAGACTAACTACTTGTGGTAGAGAGACGAAAAACTAATTGACTCACAAGCTCGCGGCTCAGAAGACAGGTTGGCTGGAACACCACTCGATTTATTCCCAATGTTGATTCACACTCCGATCTGGTTCCGATTGAGATTAGTGTAAGAAGATACATGAATAAATAGATGACCAACAAGAGTACAGCACACAAACAATTAGGAAAATACAATTATGTCCAAAACCAGGGATTAGGTTAGAAAATAGAGCACAAAAGATTATGTTTACATAACAATAACTTTGGAACAGAAAAATCTATAGCTGTAAAGATCACATCAAACGAAAGCCTATGGTTTGTGGAATAAACTAGGGACAAAAGTAAATGTCAGTGTTTTAGAAGCTTAAAACCAAATGAAATAACGTCCCCAAAAATAGTTCCCGTTGCTTGACAAGGCTTCTTATTTCTCTGTTCACATCAGTTCGGGAGGCCCAACTATGATGAAACAAGCGTTCCGCAGTTCTTGATTTTCGATGGCACCCCTATAGCACATAATCTACGACGTATAAAATAGATTAATCAGGGTTTCCTTTGAAAATTTCTGTCGAAGCAACTTTTTGAAAAACAAGTAGCAATTGACTAATGGTTATAATAAAACCTTACTATTGGAAAAAAAGTGAAATAAGTCTTTGTTATGAGCCACACAAACGCACAAACTAATTACATTTACATTTATTTCATATACCATGATTATCTTCATTAATCTATCAGTTTTATTATTACCACCGTTGTTGTTTAAACACATAATCTGTATTGAAAATGTTTGTGAATACATATTTCACTTTATCATGAAAACGAAAATAGTTAGATATCATACAGACATTCACTACACGTGAGTACATACACGGATACTTAAATGATCTAATTAAATGAGTAATCTTAAAGTAAATAAATTAAATATGTCCAATATATTTAATGATCGATTTTACTTGTTCATAATCCATAACAAAAAACATTTTTAAACTTGTATATACATGAACATTAGAAAACATGTTTAAACAAGATTGAATTTGTATATGCCATTACTCAATGTCAAGTTGTTTTTATCACTGAATAATAGATGAAGATTCTCTATTCTCTTTTACTTATCTATGTGTATGTGTGTGACCTCTATACATAAAGACACCTACAAACCGCACTGCAAATAAAAATCAGCAACATCATTACTTCTTGTCATATAACTCAACTACCATTTGGAATGATGACTGAGTCAATAATCATAAGGTAACATAATCTGTTGGCTAAAAGAAACATGTAGATGACTAAAGATAGGTAGATGTTTATAAGAGAAATTGTCTTCTAAATATCATTTCACCCACAAATACATTAAAACAGGTTAAACTAGAATTATCAACCAGACAAATAAGTCAGTTATATTAGTCTTGATTTACGCGATATTTACATAGTTACTAAGTTATTTATTTGAGAAATACTCATTAAATGAACTGAGCCATAGAAGAAAAATGACAGGATAAAAGGAACATAACGTTGTGTACATTTTACAACAGTCTCGTGAAAGCTTATTACAAGCAGACATCCCACTGCACAATAGTAGTATTCTTTTCCTTAAGAAACTCCGTTGACTTGTACAAGTCAGTGAACAAATTTTAATAAAAAGCCAGTACATCTACAAGTTATTCAGTACGTTGATTCGGATAATAATGCGGAAAAAATACCAGCGTTATTTGGTTTAAACAAGCTGTTCTTTTTATTTAAAACAATTTAAAGAACATTATAAGCAAAGATGGATAGTGGCTAGCAGTGAAATCCAGGACGCGCGTTTCGTCCTGTTTGGGACTCGTCAGCCGGCAAAAACAATATCAAGTGAATTAATTTAAAGAACAGTTTACAGGTTTGCTTCGTTCTAGTTTTTCATGAATACATTGGTTACGGTAAAATCTACATTTCAGAAAATTGATTCTTTCAACATTTTTATAAGAAATCTCATGTACATTCAGAAGTTTAATATTATTCAACAAAATTTATATCTGTTATTGTCAGACCATTCTTTTAATATACTCAATAAAACTTTGATTAAAATACGATGGATAACATTAGCGGTTGTTACCCTATCTGCTAGCTGAATTTCATCTAACTGAGAGAATGCTCGTCTGAAAACAGCTAAGATTTAATGATTTGTGCTCTAGATTCTTGATCATTAGTGTCTGACTGAAGGAAGTGAATTTGTTCTAGTTATATAATGTGAGTATGCTTAAGTTAACGTTTTAGTCACGGTAATCAGTCAATGAATTTACTGCAACGTTTTAGTATTTATTTATTTATTATTGCATGACATGAAAGTTACAAACTTCCTAAAAGTTTCCACGTGTTTAGTTGGGAGTAAGAAAATAATTAGATATAAAACTCATTATATATACCACTACATACTTTCTACAGAGAAAACATGGTCTGTGGAATTAGTCCGGTTGATGGTCAGCCATGGGTATGGAATTATATCAGAACGCTGCAACACTTAGAGCTGATTGTAGCTGAAAATTTAGACTATTAAATACAAACTCAGGAGCTGATCAAGTTCATGGCAACAGTGAGATTGAAAAGTTAAGTATATTATTCTTTTCCAGATCTTAGATTTATACCGATTGAAAGTCTTAATCTAGGAAAAAGTAGTTCATAGCTCTTTGATTTCTAGAGACTCTTTACCTGAGATTAGTTTAGGATGAGTACCATTTTTAAATTACACTGTGTTTTATAAACACAATCCAATCGTATAAGAACACTCGATATTTTGATCGGTCTCAAGTTTTATTGCTTTCTCATCTAAAAATAATGATAAACATTTTCGATTACCAACATATTGTTTACTGTCGGTGTGAATGAAAATTATCAAGACTAGAATCTGAAAGTTTGGTTGGTAATTTTGGCTCAGATTGCCAGCTGAATTCGCTGTCTTTGAATAAATTCAATATCTATTTTTTGAAGTTAGAATTACATTTTTCGGATTTAGTCGAAACGCTACATAGCTTAGACATTCTTGATATTATTAGATAAGACTAAAGTAATTTCTAGACTTATCAGTTCTAAAATCCACATCTTTAAACAGTGTAAATTTGCTTTGTAACAGTTCAGTAGTGAAGAAATTACTAATACTTTATTTCTTGTCTGGTAGAGATCTACTTGACTGTTTTATCTATCGAATCTGGAATTATCAAAATTATTTGAATTTTAATTTACCTACTTATAAGTAGGCAAGTGATGAGCATAAAATATACGGAGGCTCGCTGGTTTTCATTTCTTAGGAAACACAGCTACAATGTAAAACATAAACAAAATAATTACCATTATTTTATTCCTTTTATGGTTAGGTCAACCAGTGTCTTGGTTTACATTCGGGGAAAAAGTCGCCCTTGGTTCATCTGCTGCTTTATTTCTTGTCTTAAGTATATTATTTTGTTATATAACACGTCAACGTCGTCGGGCTAAACGAAAAGCAGATATGTCACCTGGACAACAACACGAAATTGAACTGATGTTGTGAAATTAAGTTCGCAGATATTCCTGAGTCTTCCATTTCCTATTTTCATTGAAACCGAATTACCATGAACCCTATCTGTTTTCACTGAATGGAGCTAGATATTAATTGAGATCATAACGAATGTCTCTTTATAAATGTGTACTTCAGTGTGGATTTATCTTAATACAATGTATCAATTGATCTTTTAAATTATTTCATCTACCTTCATCTCATATTTTTTACAGAAACAAATCCTACTGTACAGTTAATAATTATTTTGTATAATCTGTATCATATTTCTTTTTTATGTAACCTTTTTGTTATTATTCTGTTTTTTAGTATTGTTTAGATGTGTACGTATATTACGAAGATATATACATGACACATGTATCAACAGTGAATTATTTTTTTATCTGTTGATTGGCTGGGTATATTTGACGGTAAACTGTGTTAAGAAATCGTGTTAGTTGTCACTCGTTAGCAAAACGTACTTTTCATCCCCCTGTAGAACTGGAACCCACCACATTCAGCTACACATCTTGATACATTACCACTGAGCTAGATGGTTGTGACCGATCTGTCGGACTGAGAATTCTACGATTGATTAATCACTGAATAGCTACCGATTGGATTTTTTGCCTTATCTTTTAGAGTAGGTCGAATTTCATAGATCAATTGCAATTTGCTGACTAGTCTGACTTTTAATTTATCGTTTAGTCAACAAGCCATTTCAACTATTTCAGTTAAAAGTACTGGAAAACATATTATCATCTTAACATTTAGTAGATTACTGATTCTTCTAGTTTCTACTTGGAGGTAGAAAATCTAGAAAGGAGATATTGGGATTTAATTAAGTGGTCTGAATTAGTGAAGTCATCTGTAAACTAATTGGAAGTGAAAATTACTAGAGAAGACCCTCTTCTTTACTTAAAGAATCCTCAAAAAAGTAAATCCAATATATTATACAACATTAAACTTAATTCTTTCATATCTCATGATGAGTGCTATTCCAATGTGTTTACTGGATTATTGATGAAGCTAGTTTTTGACGGATTTATTTAAATTCATACTGTAACAAGACCATGTTTCAACGTCATCACATCATTATAACCTAATTTAATCATAATTCCCAATGGGATTCAATCAGTATAGAGCCATTCAAAGAATGAAATGCAAAAATCTTTATCCTTAAAAATTAATGTTATTAGTAACGTGATATAGTTAGGTAATTTATTGCACTTTCGTCAGTGTCCGAATACAAATAAAACCTGAGGAGAGAAAATAGCAACGATTTCTGTATGATAACATGAATGCATTTTTATAGAATACATGAACTGTGGCTAGGAGCGGGATGCACAACAAGCATTTCACCATATTTGAGACTCTTCGGCCGGATATATCTGCATCTTAGTATCGATGTTCACACCATTATCTACATATCCTAACACGGACTAATCAGAACTAAGTCAATAATATCATAAGAAGTGTAATGCACATTCTCTTAATCAATCAAATGAATTCATTTTATTTCATTAGATTCATAGTTATTGCCTACAATTAGTAATATTTTACAAACAACAAATTTTCAAATAGAGTTTAACATATATTTGGAAGTCAATTTTCATAGAATTTAGTATATGAAAGTATCAGTATGGTAGAGCAAACATCTCTAGTTTCATAATGTTGCAGTTACCTGTACAGCATAAGATGAGCATTATTTATTGTATTTCAGCTAGTCTCTAGTTTGGTTATTCCATAACCGAAATTCCACCAGCGTTCAATCATACTGAAACAGAATAATCCACTTGTTCAAGTCACGTATATTTGATTTTGTATTTTGTTTTGTTTTGTTATAAGAATATTTTATCCACTTTATATTTAACTCTTTCTCGAATCCTTTAGTGATTGTTAAATATTTATAACGTTTTGTTCGACATTGTTGTTTGTATATGGATCATCACTTTTTCACAATTGTGGAATTCAATTATCTTTAATACCTTCATTTTAACACAACAATCTGGGACTATAATTAAACAGTCATAAAAATAAGTAGAGGTAAATCATCTGAGACTAGTAGAAATTTAAGTTAGTTGCAGTTTCCAATTAAATTCAGAGCCAAACCAGAATTATTTTCTCATCTGTAGGCAGGTTTTTCAAAGGAAGTTAATATGAATAATAATTTTTATTACTAGAAACAACTAACCAATTAAAATCAGAATGAACCAATATGTCGGATGATTGAACGACTGTCATTTTCAATGGTTATAGTATATGGATTAAATAATGATTCAGAACATCTAGGTCATAGATTTATTTTTATTCAGGGTACAGAGTTAACATATCTTCCCTCTTGATCCGGCCTTCTCATTCAACTCATTTTCCATCAATCAGAAACATGAACTGAGAAATGGAACAGGAGAGAATACATAAACCAAGGATTTCATCTACGTTTTCAATTTTCAAGGAGTATGTGATGTTCACCACTTTCGGCCTCTTTTACGTTCATTTGCTTGATAAATACTTTATGTTGGAGCATAATTTTCAATAAAGATTTCATTTCAAGTGCCTAAAGTTATCAGAAATCGTCTACTACGGATATATCAGTATATCTCAACCGAACATGAAGGATAAATAGCAAAAATATGTTGAAAGTTAAGGCTTTAAATGAAATCTCTGGTGAAAATGACATGACTTAGCAGCGCTCACGCACTTAATGAACTCAGAAATGACTGTAGGCACTAAATATAACAATTTACTTGAACATAAATACGTTACGGATAACTTTAGTCAGAATAGATTTGGATATAACTTGCATAAGACTACTCATGTAATCCAAATAAAAATAGGACAGCTACTCATTGGCTAACAATGGTCCAAAAACAAGCATTTCATAATATTCCTCTTATCTGGTTGGGATTCACTCGTTCGTCCAAGCGAAATTGTGTATCTTCTGTACTTCTCACAATTCAGAATATTTCATTAGTTAAAAAGAACAATTTAAAATCCTTTAAATTTATTAAAATTTAATGATTTCGACACCAGAATATATTATCCTCCTTAAAAACAACTTGTTGTTAGCATTATCAACAGCATTTAATTAAAAATGTAACTTACATAGTTGAATACAGACATAACTTCTTGAACATATCTCACTGATTGGTCTATTATCTGACCCATAAATGATTTTCTTCCTTACCCTATAGTGACTCACGTGCAATCGAGTTTAGTTCAGTCAAGGCCTTTTGTTGACCTATTTAATGGACAAAGTCATCCATGATATAACAACTTGTTGTACTATCTTTATTATTACGCTTGTATGAAATACATATGCTTGAACATTGTTTAGCGCCTACGCATGTATTCATTCTGCTAGCTTCATTATTAACTGCTTAGTCTATTCGCTGACTCATCCATTTTCCTATACATATATATATGTGTACATTTGCACCCAACTACTACTACTACTACTACTACTACTACTACTACTACTACAACTACTTGCTACTGCTACAATCGTAGTTCGCTTGCTCATTCATTTTGCCTCTCTGCTGTCTGGTCCGAATTATCTACTAAATAAACTGTAGTAGCTGCTTCTTTTTGCCTTCTGATTTCAAACATCGTTGAAGATTATACGATAACGGTTCGAGGGTGATTAATTACCGAAGCACAGCCACTACAACCCCTTGATTAGTACGTAACGTCGTTTGTTATTTATCCTCGAATCCATTTTGGTGATGCAATTTTTTCTATCCTCCTATAGACATACATTTTCCATATAACTATATAAAACGAATGTACAGCTTAAGTAAATGATTTCGCCGAAAAGAAAAATTTTCTTCACTGAATTCTCTTTTTCTTATTTAATGAATAATACTTATGTACTTAACTCATTTCACAGTAGTTTGGTTATTTCAAGGTACTTCTCCAAACTTCAGTCATGTGACTATATGATTTCTCATATTGATTATTTCCATCTAGTTTTCTGTGTATTCTATTTTTCTTTTGATATATCATTTAGTGAGAAAACATTATCACTTGTTTATATAACTAATGGTTTACAATATTATTTTCCCTCTCACACGTATATTACAATGATACGTTAATAAGGTCAATCATATCATATTAGAACTAGAATTCGTGACATAAATTAAAGAACCGATCTAACACTCGAGAAGACTTTATTCAATATAATTACAAGCAGTGAGTTGAGAGTAGAAATCAATGGTAAGAAGGGAAAAATTACATAATTGATAGTCCATAGGCTGTGGCTGTTTATCCACACTCAACAATCAATCATATTTTACTTTCACTACCACATATCACTTGTTTCGTCAGATACTTTTTATGTCATCAAATTAGTTAAGTTGTCCTTAATACGTTTCTATTATAAATTCATCATATACAATTATTTACAATATTAGGTTTATTAGTTCTATACTATTTCACAAACGTTTCAGTTAAACAAACACATAAACGATCAAATAAGCCAAATTCTAAGGGGCAGAAAAATAAAAAATAAAACGTTTTTGACACAGCATTCCCGTATACAGTTATTTAGCCTATTATTTATGATAACAAATCAGAAAACAATACAGTTGTACAAAACGATTATTTAAGCAATCAACACCATGGGATGCCGGCTCAGTGGTCTAGTAGCTTAGGCGTTCGCGCGCGAGACTGAGATTATTTCAAATATAATTTTCACATATAATGAGTTATATACGGTAGCTTTTCTTTGATTTTTTACAGCTGTTGGGCGACAGACCTCGTATCATAGTCTCTTCGTAAGTTGAATTGATGTGTACACATGAGTTAATATTCTGATTTGTACTGTGAACTGCTCGTAATTTTCGTACTTAATTTTACTGTGCGATTTCACCGTCCGAACGAAGCTCCTGAATTCGACGTACATTAATTGTTTCATTTGAACTTTAATTTAAACACATAGGTAGTATCGCTCGGTCTCACGCATAAAGTGTAACTCAAAGTGAGGTTCACTAGCTTGTACTTGGTCAATAAGTTTCATTATTTCAGTAAGATGCATGAATAACCCATTTAACTGGTCAATCTTGGTCCGACAAATTGTTTGACATTTTTCAAAGGCGAATTTTCAATTAAATTATCTTTTTTCATGGTTGAAAAGCTTAAATAGCATTATCGGACTACATTTAAGATAAATCGTAAGTCTTAAACTTCAGAACTACCATCTAAAATTAATAGCATGAACCAGTTGAAATCATTTCAGTATTTATACATACAGATAACCATAAATGTAATGAACTTAGTACAGTACTGTAGCGATTGAAGTGACCATATTTTGCAGCAGCTCAAAACAACAAGGATATTAATAACTTAATATTATTTTGAGAGAAGTATCATTACAGTTTCCGTGAGACAAATA